GAAATGTGACGATCTTGACTCACTGCCTCTGGAGCTGCTCGATGGTGCGCTGTGACTGGAAGGGGGGTGCCACTGGAGATATACGCAGAAGAAAGTCGAAGAATGCGGGGAAGAAAATCGAGGACGAAGAAGAAATTATGCGGCACAGATGCCTTCGAAGCTTGGACTGGTGCCGTCTCATTATGAACAGAAGTGGCCAGCCTGTTGATGAGCCGAACTGGTCTGAGCGGTGTATTGAAATTGGAAGAAGTGGCGAAATTCATTCGGGAAATCAGTCGTCGGGTTCGCGTGATTTCCAACATCTCATGTTCCTGAATATGCTTGCTATACTGGAATTGCTCGGACAGAAGAGCACTGCATTTCGGCATCTGAGGAATGAACAGTTCACAGGTCAAGTCTGGGTGTTATTAGTGAACAGGTCAAGTAATCTCAATTGCAGTTGTTATCAATGTTATCACTGCGAGTATAGTTCATGCTCGCGCTCTCAGCTCATTGTTTCTGTGTGATCGTGTTGCTTAGTTTCACTGTGGACCGGTGCTTTGTAGCTGGAAAGTGGACATACGTGGCAATCGGAATTGTTTTGCTTGTGCTGCTTGGAGGAAGAGGAAGAATATGCGCGAAAATGGAGAGTATGCGCGAATATCGCTTCACCGAGTTCTGTCTTGTTGTGAATAAAATCGGTCAGTCTGATAAAGAACCTGGATCAGTCTGTATTTGGGAGGCAGCTTGAAGAACGAACCGAAACTGCAGGAAGTGCTCGGTCAGTCATCGGGTTCGCGTGATTTCGACCAGCTCCTGTTCGTGAATACTATTTGGCCTGCTTGGAATTCTGGAATTGTCTCGAAAAGCGATGCTAAATTTCGGCGTCTGTTGCATCAGTCGTAGAGTGCTCACAGCTGCGTGTCAAGCATTCCCCGTTGCAGTCGTTACTAGTGTTATCACCACCCGTACGGCCAATGCACGCCCTCTCAGCCCATTGTTTCTGTGTGGTCACGTTGCTTCGTTTCACTGTTACTGCTACACTGTTATCTATGCGTAAATAAAAATATTTTTGAATTTGACGCTTTATCACAACGCATATGTCACGCACACACACGTACGCACACGTACACACATACATACAGACACACAAACATATACACACATATGTTTTCAAGCTTTCTCTGCTGACTAGTGAATATCACGACACTAGACAAAATCATCCCATATGTACTTTTCCTGTCGGTTGCAACCTTTTTTCGGTCGGGAAATGGCAACAGCGTATTCAGTTCTTGAAAAATAAGTACAGGAGTACAGTTCTGAGCTGTGACGCTGTACGAATCAGTTTCTATGGAAGCTGAATTGTTAGCTGACCAGAGAGGCCAGTGTAGCCGGAGCGAAACCTGCAACATTCTCAAACGGTTAGCACTCTACGCCATTCAGTTTATGGCAAGCTACCCGTCCGATTTATATCCAACGCAGTTTTTTAGCTGAAGTCGTATATTTCCGACTACCTCATCGGGATCAATTCCAGCACCCCGAAAAATATTGCTCGACTAAGCCACTTCCTCAATACTCGATATCCCCTTGCCCGCCAGCGCGGCCACTGTTCCTAGGTCTTGGAGAACGGTGATGCATGCCTTGACCATGATCCATCTTCCTCCGTTTTCATTAGTGAACGGTACCAGATTGATCTGAACGTACTGCCCACAAATCGACCTGCTTGTAAGCAACTCTCGAAAGAGGAGCCGCCAACAAGTCCTCCAGAAAGCGGTTGCCATTCGCACTTATTATGTTCGAAATACTTCGGAGTGCATCCATCCCACACACACAGAATAAATGAGGAAGCGGTTTGAACTTTTCTGATCAAATTATATCTTGTTGTCCATTTGTACAAGTTGTCTCAATCGCGACTACGGCATACAGACCAATATAAATTGTATTTTAAAAAAAAGTACAAAATGTAAAACACGGAAGACACAAAGTATTCGGAGGACTTGAAAGTGACGGCCACTTTACACGGGGAGAAGGGAGAGGGAGGGAGGGGACCAAAAACTACACCGTACGCCCTCACAAAGAACGAACAATCCGGATGCAACAAATGATATGAAAGCCATCGAGAGATATGCACTAACAGACTGAGTTAAATGAAATTCTGTTATCCACGAGACAATGTTTTTCTAAACAAACAGAAGACAGCACTCCTAGGATTCGTAAGCAGAGGTGTATCGAAAGATGTGGCCAACTGTGTGAAACACAGCTGGAACCCGAATGCATCCAGTGCTGCCAACGACATCAGACTGGGGCAAATATACCCTGCAGCGAAGTCGTTTGTTCTTATCAAATATAATTTGCGAGCAAATAATCGATAAATAATGAATTCGTGAAACTACACATTCAAAGTCCATGCAAAGGAAGCCGGTTTTCCAAATTCTCTCCATCCATTTGACTAACTTTCAATAGCGCCGCTTCGTTACGGCGCTTCATCCCTACAAACAGAAGGAAAAAAATCACTCCGCAAAATCTTCATTACTCAAAAAACAATTTTCGTAATAAATTCCTAACTTTTCAGTTACATGCAAAGCGTCCCAACAGACGAAAGTTTCACCAATTTTGCCGCTTCTAGCACATACATCTGCAGCACACAGCAGAATATTTACTGCACAAAAAGCCGACAGCCATCCACGCTGTTTTCCAAAAGTAGTCTACTCTACAACATTCTGCGCTGACAGTGTATCTGATCAAGCACAACGAGCAAAACAATGTGTAATCAATAAAAAAAAAAAAAAAAACTTGATGACTCTGCGGCGCTGATAAACAAATTTTGAAACTCAAAAACTGTAGGAATTTTCTCGAGCGGTAAGTTGACCAGCAGAGTCCAGAATATGACTGGAGTAGGACTGTAAAACCAACTCAGCAACAAGTACAAAAAAGACAGTCACTGGCTGAGAGTTAAAAAAAACATGCACGGAGAAAAACCTCGATGCAAACACTTCACTGCTACTTATCGAACGGAAATGCAGGGTCTTTCCTTGCACGCATATACAAACGAAGTAGTGGTATGATGCCAAAAAATACAGCTACCAATAAATGCATATGAAACCTTTCATACACACTTCGAAAGAACAACATGAGACGTCAT